CACTTATTGATAAAGTTCAAAGACTATAGTTTCACTCAGTATAGATTCCACTTCAACAAAAGCATAAATCTTCACAACCGGATGCATAACAGTACAATAAATAAAGAAAAGATTGAGTAAAGTATATTTTTCTTGGATTCATTATCAACACCCATGGAAGCAGCAGTCAAGAAAACAGAGGATGTATTGCATTGGGCAAATCTGCTGCAAAGGACCTCTTTAAAGTGTTAAAAAGCAAAGATTCCACTTTGAGTACTCAGGTATTCCTAACCCATCATGGTATTTTCAATCACCTCATATGCATATGAAACTTGGACAGTCAATTAGGAAGACCAAAGAAGCATTGACACCTTTGAATTATGATGTTGATAAAGAATATGGAATAGACCATGGGACTGCCAGAAGAATGACTAAATCTGTAAGCAGTTTAGTCAAAATGCTCCTTAGAAGGAAAAATGGCAGGAGATTTCATCCCATGTACTATGGACATGTTATCAGGAGGGACTTGCTCTGGAGAAGGGCATAATGCTTCATAAAGTAGAACGTTAGCAAATTGATGAAGACCCTCAACAAGATTGATTAGCATTGTGGCTGCAATAGTGGGCTCAAACATAGCAAGGATTTTATGGATGGCACAGATAATATTTAATTCTGTTGTTCCTAGGATCACTATAGTCTGTTGTCCACTGGAACACAACTATCCATAACAACAAACATTGGTTTCTTAATGTGGGGGCTTCTTAGTTTAAAGAGTTGTGTGCATGTGTGTGAGTACTTGGAAATTTTAGCAGCGAAAAGTAAATGCCTACACCTTTGTTGACAACAGTCGTGTTCCTTACTATTCTATAGAATAATCTTTACATTTATACAACCTTGTGAAAATGAACAGAATGAAAGTGACATTTCTTAGTGAGGCTCTCATGATATTTACTTATGGCTTCAGTGGTTCTGTATGTATCTGCATGCCTGTATCATACATGTACATATGTTGACTTCATACCATAAAACTTATCATTTGATATCATATTAAACACATGATATGTTTAATACCCTAGGCAATGTCATGTTCTCATTGTTATTTTTTTGAGTTGGATATACATTTGCAGTCCTGGTGTGGTGCTGTGGGTTAATGTGCTGGACTGTAAAACTGGTTTGAACTGCAAGGTTGGCAGTTCAAGCTCACCAGCTGTTCCTCACAAACTCTACACAGGGTTGCTATGGGTCGGAACAGACTCAACAACACTTAACAACAACATCACTTAACAATATATACATATATATATAACATAAAAGGAATGACATACTTTATAACATGTCTTCTAATTATTCTAAATTCATCCCTGTATGAATATGAGTTATATACTTAGTTATAATGTTACCTTAAGCAATTGCTTTTCTGTGCATTAAAAACCTTCTCTACATAGTCTAGATTCTTTTTAAATTTAGTGTATTTAACTCATTAAGTTTTTCTGTTTTGCAGTCTCACTTTGGTAATAATAGGTATGATTTCTACTAGTAAAGGGCATATATATGGGTGGAGGACATATTGAGAAGGTGAACAGTTTTGCAGATAAACACAATGTGATTAGAAATAACTAGTCTGTAATTATTGACTTGGAAATAACTACAAAGAAAAAAACCGGAATTACTTCTTTGACCACATTTTATCTCCTAAGTAGTTGCAAAGAGCACATTTTCCCTATTTTTCTCCAAATAAAAATTGTAACCATCTGAATTAGTGTTGTAAAGCTGGTTTATAAGAAATGAGAACCCTTCTCAGAAATAATTCACAATATTACAGTACTTATTTAGTTAAAAAGCGGTTAGAATAATTGAGAAATACTTTATCAGGTTGGATAAAGTGAAGAGGTCATTAAAAACAAAATATCACAAGATCTGAAGCCCCCAAGGCGTAAAACGTATTTAGCACTAACAATTGTAAAGAAAGTTCCAAAACATTATGAAGTTGTTGCTGTTGTTAAGGGCCATCTAATTGGTTCTGACTCACAGTGACTCTGTACTGCTGACCTTGGGTTCAAACCGACCTTGCAGTCCTGCACATTAAACCGCAGCACTATACCAGGACTCCATGATGAGGTAGAAGGGACTTTTAATATGTTAAATGCTTTGAGTTGATTTCAACTCATAGACCCTGTATAGGGTTTAGGCCTACCTTGAAGTCAAGTGCTTATCCTACAGTGACACACCAGAACTCCACTTTTAATATGTGGTAGGATAGAAATTGTATGGTGGTTGTGTGCCATGGAGTTTGTTCTGACTCATAGCGATCCTGTATAGGGTTTCTGAGGCTGTAAATCTTTATGGGAGCAGAAAGCCTCATCGTCTCCCCCACAGTATTTGGTAGATTTGAACTGCTGACCTTAAGTTAAAAATCCAACTCCAATTCACTACAGCTTCAGGGCTCCTTAGGAATCCCGTAGAAAGACAAAAAACCATTTTCTTGATCTATGATAATAATGAAAGCAGGGTGTCAGTACTGAGGTGTTTTCCTTTAAATACTAATCAGATGTGGGCCTTTTTAAATGATGGTGAGTATGGAGACAGAAAGATCTGGGAGAGAATGGTATTTTCTCAAATAAAAAAAAAAAAAAATTCTATGTAGAGAAAAGATGACTCAGACAAAATTCAAAAGCTGCTTTCTTCTCTGTGAAATTATGCAGAAACTTGTATTAAGTAAAAAGGTGCAAGGAATCCTCTAGAAATTGCCTGGAGTTTGGTTTTCCCACCGGTGGCTTCTTAGCAATCTCCAGGCATAATTAGCACAAATATTTGGCCTGTACTGTCAATCTATTTGCCATTTCATCAGCCTGATGTTTTGAACAGCCAACAGTAAAAGAGAAACAACATTCAGCAATTTGGGAAGTTTTGGTTGGCAGTCAGCAATTACCTCTAGCTTTTTTCTAGGTGAGGATTATACTACATTTTAGAAACTTGGTGACTGTTGTTCTTCCTTGATAATCAACAAGAAGCAACGTTTTAGACTTTAGTTTGGCTGCAGTCGTGGGTACAACTTTGGAAGCCCTAAGGAGATAAATTTCTTCTGTCTAGGATCCGCCCAGAGTAAAGAAGCAACACCCTCTCAGACACTACTCTGTTGCTATGAGACAAAAGAGTAGGAAGCTGAGCAAGGCAGGAAGTCCCGCCTTTTAGCCCCAGTCCACTTAAGCTCCCCCTCCCGACGTTCACACCCACCTGCCTCCCTATTATTGGTCAGTTCCCTAGTGATTTTCATCCTCCTTTCAATTCCTATGTCTTTTCCACTTTTATTCCAGGGTAAATCTAGTCCCTGCCATTCTCTTTAGAATCCCTTTCCGTTTGGGAAGCTCAGCGAGCGGGCCTTCCTTTGGGACCATTGTGTATTTGGTGTAAGACGTGGAGGAGGTGGTAGTGCGGGGAGGACGGGCGCTTCCCGCCCATTGGTACCGCGCGCTGTCGGACAGTGCGCGGGCTCCTGGGATTGGGTCAGCTGCGTTCAGCCCCTCCTGCGACTCCGCCCCGCGCCTTGGTCTCTGTGTGTATGTTACGGGGTGGGGTGTCCAGCAAATGGTCTCCTCCTCCAGCTAGTGCCGCTGCGGAGTCCGCGGCCTCCGGGAGAGTCAGGCGGGAGGGGAGAGCGGGTGTGGATTTGTCTTGACGGTAATTGTGTCTCCACGTTTCCGTGTTCTCTGCTGTGTGTGGGTTGCTCCTTCCCGGAGACCGGGATATTCGGGCGAGTCCACATTCCCGGTTCAGGCTATCCACGCACCCTGGGCTGCAAGCGTGTGGACCGGACCGCGCACACGCGTGTCCCTGGACACGGACGGTGGGCAGGGGGCGCCGGCGAGGTTCGGCGCCGCTTTCCGGCCCAGGGGCAGCCAGACGCGGGACACGGAGGAAGAGCGGCAGCCTCGATTGCAGCTGCTGTCGCGGCCGCCGGCACATTTTGAAGAGGGGTATTTAATATCCGGAACCCGGGCCAGGCCGGGGGAGGGAAGAGGGAGGAAAAAGACAAGTCGCTGGGATTGCAGGCGACTTGGGAGGTGTGCTCGGGCACCGGGTGCGGAGTGTGCTGCGGCTGTGGGTGCAGGAGGTGCGGGGGCACTTAGTCCTCCTCAGGCCACCTCCCTCCTCTTCGCTGAGGTCCGGGACAGTGGGGAGGGGGCACCGACGTCCCGACACAAAGCTCGGGACCAGTCCCTCCTCGCCACCCCCTGCGAGTCAAGAGGGGCTGAGAGTGAAAGAAGTGAACTCTCTTTTCTGTGCCCTCCTGTCAGCTTCCCACTGTCTTTTAAAATGGTATTTTGTTTGTTGGTTGATGCAGTTCTTGGGGGTACTTACTCACCGCATTAGTTTAAAGAACTGTGTGTGTCAGTTCTTGGCGGTTTTAGCGGGGGGAAATTCTACTCTTACGCCTTTGTTGACCACAGATGTGCTCCTTACTCTTCTGTAGAATTATCTTTTCACTTGGTGAAAAAGTACAGAATTAATGTGTACTTTCTCAGTGATGTTAGTATGATATTTACTAACGGCCTCAGTTTCTGAAAT